TTATCTTATCTTATCTTATCTTATCTTATCTTATCTTATCTTATCTTATCATCTTATCTTATCTTATCTTATCTTACAGCCGTTCATTTAGGGGACCGTTCAAAGTTACAGCAGCAGTGGAAAAAAGTGACTTACGGCCATTTTACACACACATAACCATTGCAGTTTCCCCACAATCATGGGATCAAAACTCAAATGCTTGGCCACCAGCCTATATTTATGACGGTTGCAAGTGTCCCAAGGTCCCACGCCAAGAAGACCAAGGACCAATCCTTTTGGAAATCTAGAAGTGTCCTACCTTTTATTATTAAGTCCTCCTCAACCCACTCCTTTCCGGATGTGTTCAAACTGCAATTCTCAAAATGCCTCACCAGCATCGTGAAGATAGTGAGATTGGGCTTTTGGCCTGGAATTCTGGAAGGCGGAAGTTCAACAGGTTAGGGCAGAGGTGGTATTCTGCAGGTTCTGACCAGTTCTGGAGAACCGGTAGCAGAAATTTTGAGTAGTTTGGAGAACCGGCAAATCCCACCTGTGACTGGCCCCGCCAACCCCATCCCTTCTCTGCCTCCCGTTGAGTCCCAGCTGATGGGCTGGGTCTTCTTTGGTTGCCCTGCGCAGGAGAACGGAGCTGGAAAGCAGGTTAATGGGGTGCGGAGGGAATGGGGATTTTGCAGTATATCCTTCCCCTGCCACGCCCACCAAGCCATGCCACGTGCACAGAACCAGCAGTAAAAAAAAATTGTATCCCACCACTGGGTTAGGGCAGTTTTTCTCTCAGGCTTTGGCAGCTTAACAGATAATCAGAGTTGGAAGGGACCTTGTAGGTTATCTAGTCCAACCCTCTGCCCAAGCAGGAGACCCTACACCATTTCTGATAGATGGGAGTCCAATCTCTTCTTGAAAGTCTCAAGTGAAGCTTGAAAATGGGTGGACTTCAACTCCCAGAATTCCCCTGCCAGCACGGCGATCACATGACCAAGGGACACTGCAAAACTCTGTGGTTTCTTCCCCAAACCCCAAAAACTTTAACCTTAGACTGTCTACTATTGACCTCACCCCTTTCCTAAGAGGTCTGTAGGGGGCGTGCATAAGCGCACCAACGTGCCTACCGTCCTTGTCCTATTGTTTCTTTTATTTTTTATTTTTCTTATATGTATCCATGTATTCATAACTATGGTTTTACTTATACCTATTATCTTGTAAACAATTGACAAAAATAAATAAAATAAATAAATAAACTGTCATAAATATGTACTGGATTGCCAAGTGCCCAAATTTGGATCATGTGACCGCAGAGATGCTGCAGAGGTCATAATTGTGAGGACTGGTTGCAACTTCCCTTTTTTTTCACTGCCATCGTAACTTTGAAAGTTTGCTAAACGAACGGCCACACGTTGACTGCCTGTAAAGTCCTTTTTTCCCCTTCATGGATTAGGAAAGAAAAACATCGGCCGCTCACCCTAGAATAAAAGGTTTTGTATGTTGAGCCTAAAGCGACGGGATTTGGTTCCCTGTAGATGCCACTTCAGAAGAACCACGGACCCCTGGAGAACCTCCAACTCCAGCCCTTGCTTGGTTGCTTAATCAACGAAGCGAACGCGGACAATCCTGGCTCTCGAGAAGGCACAGAATACATACTACATCTTCTACCCAGGGCCATTCTGGGAGTTTAACCTCCACCCATCTTCAAGCTGCCAAAGCTTGAGAGGAACACCGGTTTAGTGGATTCCAAACTTTGGGCAGCTCTCCTTAGGCGTCGGGTGCGTACGTGGGTTCCATTTTACGGGTCGGTTTTGCACTTCGAGAGGCAGAATTCCTACGGCAAGAGGGTCTCCTTGCTCTTCTTTGAAGACAGAACAAAAGGGAGCCCTGTGTGCCCTTCCTCCACTGCATCTGGTCTTCATTAGAACAGCGAGCTGGAGTTGATGAAGGACAGATGTGAGGTAGAGTTCCAAAGATAAACTCAGGAAATTCTCCGAGTTTGATATAGGGGGAAGGGTTGGACAGTTTATGGCTTTACTTCTCTCTCTCTCTCTCTCTCTC